CTAAGTCAAATAACTAAAAAAAAAAAAACACTCATTTGAATTCCGATTACAACATTTTCTAATAAGTCATCTGATTTACAATTTACAAGAAAAAAGAGTGATTCTCATTTGAAAACACGAGTAGAATCACAGAGCACTCCTAAAATGGTAAAAAGCACTGAAAGTTTTTGAAAATACTGCCCTTAACTAAGTGTATTTAAAAGTTCCAGAAATCAGTATTTGAGTAAATTCATTAAGTGTTAAGACACTATAATGAGCATGCTTGATGAATCACTCTGTATAATCTATAAACACTATACCAATGTAATTTATTAGATATATTCCGCTTTCCGATAAAGATCCTTAATCAAACGTGAAATATTAAACCATATCTCGGGAAATATTCCGAATACGTTCTGTGGTATATTTACAACTTTCTGTTTTGTCGCATTCCTACAAAATCAATATTTTTCGTAATTATATTCGAATCACTGTTTAGCTTCTTTCAGACTTTGGTTTTGATATTATTTCATTTATTTGAGCAACGTTTGAACATTCATTTTTTGTGAATAAAGCACACAAAATTGTTAAACGGAATCAAATGATTAAGTAAGTAATTTTCAATTTCAGTGGCAGTTATAATGGAAAAGTTATAAAATAAAAAAGGTACATAATATAAATTGATATAATATCCTATATAGCCACATTTTAGAAACGAAAAAAATTAATGCATAATATTGCATAAATATTTTAAGTTTTAACCTATATTTAAAGCAGGTAGCGTTTTCTTTTCTTAACCCTACACTACATGAATTTCCGCTTTTTAACAATAAAATAGTTTAATAAATCAGATTATATAAAATACAAATTAAATATTAATAGTATAGTATATAACAAAATAGTCAGAAAAATATTCTCTCCGATAGTTGAAAATCATAATAATTACAACTTTATATTTTAAAACCTTAAGTCGACATAAATACCTACAAAGGTTACACTGTTTTGACTTTTGATGATCAAGGAAGAGAATTTTCCAACTATTATGAAAACTCGAATAGAATTACGTGTTTCAGTTTCAAAAAATATTTAAGAATACCTAGTAAATTATAATGCTGATTTTCATTGAAATCTAACTGTGGAAAATATATCTATTATTATAATAATAAATTATTAATATATTATAAAAATACTTATAAACAGGATGTCAGGATAATTCATCAATAAGCATGCCCAAAATGTGCCCAATTCAAAATTCGGACGAGTAGTTTTTCAGTTATTATAGATTAAAATGTTTATTTTAAGGATAATTGTCCTTAAAGTGGTTTTACAAAAATATAAAACAGATGTAGTACCTAGGTATTGAATCTAGTATTTATTATACTTGGACCATTTTTACAAAATATTAATGTATAGATAAATTAATATTAATAAATAATCACCAACATTTTTAAATCACCAAGCCTCCATATCTATTATCTACTTACCCCATAAGGCCATAACCATAGACGTATTATCCTTAGTACAAGGTTATATAACACAAAAATAACTTGTTTGAATTTTTATTCTGTCCGATTCTAATACGTCAACATTTTTAGAAAAATTATAAGGTAGGTCAATTACATTTGAAAAGGAGGGTTCTCATTTGATAAACAGAAGTTTGAATGGCATCAGGACACTATTTACGTATGTGCTACAAACAATTTTTAAATAAAAAATATGTTCTTTAATTGTATTTAAAAATTCCAAAAATCAGAATCTGAATAATTTCATTATTAAAGGTAAATTTTGGGAGTGAGTATGCTTGCAGTGAATCATACTGTATATAATATACATAAAATATTAATATTACAATATTGTCGAAAACCGTCTCGTTTAATGCATTACGCACATGGCAGGCAGCAGCTATATATGATATAATAATATATATTATATTACATAATATATGTAATAGCGGGATGCTGTGGGTACGTGTTACAAGGAAGACAGACACCTATGCGTACCTATATTTATGCAAAATATATGTACATAACATGTATATTATAGTACCTATACACATTTGACGTCCATAATTGACACGGTTTTAAGTATGGCCAATTAAAACACCATCGCGTTGGCCGAGTAGCTTGTACATTATTATATATTAATATTATGTATACCTACAATGTACACGGTGCACAACTTGCGAGTACGGCGTGTATTATGGATACAACATAATTTAATACATACATAATAATATTATTATTATAATGTAGGTACTAGGTACTACTCCTCCGACGATGTCTATTATAACCACATAACGGTCGGTCATGATAATATAATAATAATAATAATAATAATAATACGATTGCGTTATATATTCCGCGGTATATACGCACAATATTATACACACATATATTAATATGTACGATCATACGGTATTATTATAACTATTGTTAAATCGCATATATTATATAATAATTATACATACTACGTCATAATATAGTAGGTATCTGGTGAATATATATATACTGTTATAATAATAGCAACGACAGGCCGAATAATGCAGAACATATCAACCACCATTCAACTGCAGATAATACAGCAAAATCGTCTCATAGGTGCATACTACTATAGGTACCTACATAACACGCATCTCTCATATGGAACTCAAATCTTCAAGTCAATAACATAAACTGTCTATAGAAAATTCAAAATATTTTCCTCAAGTTTCTTTCATTTAAATGACATGTCGAAAGAATTTCGCACTCAGGGTACACATGGGTCGAAGGGATTTTTAATCCACCTACCGAAACTTAAAGTTGTATTTAATAAAGATGAATTAAAATTCCTACTTAAATTATTAAAAAATATATTTGACTGCCCTGAAGTTATTAGAACGTTTTAACTTTTAAATAAATACCTACAAAAGGATCACGCGATTAATCTTTGTTCTATCTGAAAAACATTACTAAATTTTACCTATAATATTAAGAGGATGTCGTTCCCTCATTTGTTGTCTCCGTCTTACTAACGAATGATATATCAAAATTAATATTTTACATATTCATAATACTCACTTAAAAATTAAAATATCGTAAAAACCCAACAACAGAACATAGATGATGTCTGATCCCTACATTATATTATGCGTTAATAAGACGGAGACAACATATATGTGGGTACATCATCCTCTAAAGACTTAAATTCCCCATGCAATGTCTTAATGTCCCTAGGGCCTAGGTAACAGTAGAAAAGTCTTGATTTTTTTTCAATTTATATCTCAACGAATTTTCATTACAATTTTAACTGCCTAAAACTATTATTATAGGACCTATTGGCGCTATTGCTCACTATAATTTTATTTATTCATAATATAGTTTAATATTATATTCTTATACTTAATTCATTGTTTGTCGTTATCCATTATCATGTGGTACAACACCTCTATAATTATATTACCTACATTATATAATATGTTTTAATTTGAAATTATTTATTATGAGTCTATGTGTTAAATATTATTATAACTGTGTATATTAGTATATTACACTGTATTACACTGTCTTGTGAAAATTTGAATTTAAATTTTATTCCGTAAAATACAATCTATTATTATTTTTAGTATTATAAAATAGGTACAGTATAATATACACTATACACGTCCTATATAAAATACTCTTGTTAGATCGTTTTCGATGCAAGGTTAAGATTTCGCCTTAAATGTTATGTAGGTATAATATTATATACTCGTATACATGTAGGTACTATCCCGCCATTTTAATCGGAATTTTAATTGGACTCAAAACCCTAGATGGTTTTCTGAGTAAGCAGTCGCGATGGTTTATGTACAACCATATTTTTTTAATACGTAATTAAAAAATAAAAATTATTAAAATATGGAGAAAAATATAAGATGAATATATTTTTTGACAGCCTCCTTAATTTATTATTATCAATAGCTTGTACATATATATATATGCTAGGTAGATGGGGTTTTGTTCTTTTATAAAATTACAAAATTTAATCAGACCTACCGCACTGCAATATATGGTAATACAGTTACCTACCTATATTTGTTGAAGTCATAGGCAAAATAAAAATTTAATGGTTTTGAGATTAGTTTCAATCCATATTATATAATGTATATAGGTATACGCGTTTCCTCAAATAGATGTTTTTGCATCAGATTCGAATTTATTATGTACATTTTGGACAGTGAGAAACTGCCACAATAATATTTACGAGTTGGGATATAATATGATAGCTGAATGATTTATAATATTTATGAATATAATAGAACTAAAAATCCATCTTTGTGGTGAACGTGTTTTAAAATGTATGAACTTCCGTCATGGAATCAGTTACGGAATTAATATTTTATTAAAAACATTGTTTTAATCATATACCTAGATTAGTTCACAATTGTTTAGTGTGTTTTACATACTTCAATGAATAAAAACTTATTTCATATTATATTTTTGAAATAATATTCTAAATTTACTTTGGAGTTGTAATCCTTTGTAGAATTTGTAATTTTAAAACCGTACTACTACTGTTTTATATTTTCTTGGTGGTTGGTAACTATAAAGTAAAAGGTATTTAAAATCATAAACATTTTTATTTTATTGAATGAAAAGTGGAGTTATTACCTTTTGAATTAATTTTGTTCTCAGTATTTAATTATTATATGTACAAACTGCCCAAAGAGAAAATTCAACGGTCAGCTCGAGAATTAATTCAATGTGATCGCTTAAGCAATCGATTGAATTGGAGACTTTGACATTAACTTGTAAATGAATATTATTGTTGATGCTTTGTTTGCTTGTTATTATTGTTATATCAAACAAATTTTTAGTCTATTATCATTCGTTATTTTAAAAATAACTTATTACCTACTTGTTCTTACTCAAACGATGGGCCATTATATTATTATTATAATTGTATATACCATTCAAATAAATAAAAAAACATCTGTTTATAGGTACGCGTTTTTCAATAGTTAATATAATATAGTACAGTATAAACATCATAATTGAGCTTACCTTTGAAAAAGTGTTTTTAGCGTAGTGCATGATGGAATCATAATCATATGGAAGGCCCAATGAATTTACTTCTTCTTCGGTTAATTTATTGAAATTGTATTCTTGTCCTAATAAACATATAAATGAAGATTTAAAAATACGAATGTAATCAATTTATTATACGTTGTTTTCTCAAAATAAAAAAAATCTAGATTAATTCTGTTTAATTGGGTATTTGGGTCACGCATGAAACCCTTTCATTAAACAAAAAACTATTTTTTAATTATGATAAGTATAATAACAACAAAAAGTGACTTCTATTAGCTCTAATCGTCGCAAATAAAACAGTTTTAGATTTAGAGTATAGCTTCACATTTAAAAATAAACCAGCAGAAAATATAAATATTTACAGGCGTTAATACTTAATGATAATATAATAATATAAAATATTGTTATAATATTATCAATGTTATTTTATGTATTTAATTCTTTAGAGTACGCAATATGCATGTATCTACATTATTTTATACTTAATACAATATAAACTGAAATAACCGATAGATAAAATATAGCATCGATGTGTTTAATGTAAAAACCTAGGTACATATCTTAACTTATATCTTATAAAGTTACAAATAATCATTAAATTAAAAAAACACTAGACCTTTTCAAACCCTTGAAAAAAACATATCCAAAAAAATAATTTCTGTACAAAGTATTAAGATGCACCTATAGGTACCTACCTATATACAGAGTGAACCAAGCGTACTGAGCCACATCGTATTCCTTTAAGGAATTTCTTTATGTACCTAGAACGGCTAGAACGTATTACCTTTTCTTTTAATTTATTCAAATTATGATTTTTTTGAATTTTTAAATATACTCTGCCCATATTTTTAAATTCTTAATGAGTTTTCTGATTAATTACTACAATTTTCAACCCCCCCCCCATCACCATAGCCCCCATATCTTATTAACCCATTACCATGGATTTTTTATCCTTAGAACACAAAATTGAATAACTCAAAAAGTGCCAGTACGAATTTTGATTCTGAATAAAAACATTTTCAGAAAAATTATTCACTCAATAATTTACGGTTGAAAAGGGGTGTTCTCATTTGAAAAACAAAATGTTGTATCTCCCACAGGACACAACTTAGTACTTAAGTAGTAACAATTTGAAAATATGGTCTTAAAGTTTATTTCAAAATTCCAAAAATCATATTTTAAATAACTGCAATAATGAAGAACAAAAAGATGGTGAGCATGCTTGGTGAATCACTCTGTATATAAAGTATAAACAGATAAAAATAGTATGAATTTGAACATCGCACTACGGATTACAAAGAGGGTCGTCTACAAAAACACGGAAACACTTATATAAATCAAGTTTGACCGTTGCCAGCAACGTTTTAGTTAACGATATCGATGATTAATGGATGAATAAGCATTATGTAGCTCAGTGAAGATCTAATTCATCACCCGACCACCGGCAGTGCCGGCGGATGATTTATCAGCTCTGGGGCGCAAATTTCGCATTTGTAATTTGTATTATCACTGCACGTGTGAATAGGTATATAAGTAAGTATAAACATAATATATAAATACATTAATATTTAATACCCATAGACCATTGACTCCTGCAGCTATTTAAACACGCGTTAACTTCAGGTCGTCACCGATTAAAAATAATAAAACAAATAAATTATGCACACTACCCATGATATTATGTAATGAGATTATTAGTTTTATTATATTATTGTAGATTATAGTACCTAAAGTAAACAGTTTCCGATTGTTGCAAAACCATTTCATGGTAAACGTTTTACAATATATATAGGTAGGTACTTACAACATATTTACTGTACGATGAAAACACGCAGTATACAATAATAATTTTATCTTCGTTATCATAATATGTATCATAGATATTAACTATATTATAATAATATTATAATATGCAACATTCATATATTATATTATAAAACTGCACAAATGTGGTTATCTTAATTTTTTTTTATTCTGTGAAACTTTAACCATTTGTATATTATTATGTGTTTGTGTATGAAATTGAATTATTAATTTTTCCCCGAAAGAAGTTCGTACTTGCAGACATTAGAATTTTCAAACATAATATCCCAATGTTTACAATTTGAGCAGCATAGAAGATAGAACTTTTATAGACACTTTTATATATATATTTATACCATCGACTTTCGAGAAAGGGAAAAAAATTCCCTTCAAAGAAATAATATATATTATTACATTAATATGTTTTCAAAACAATAATAAATGTTTTACACGAGAAAATCAATCTGCGCATAATATTTTTTCAATTAGGTATTATAATAGTAATTTTTTTTTCACTATTAAAGTATTAAACAGTAAATATCTGATATTTTCATCAAATACAACGGGAGTCTGTTGAAAGTAGTTATTTTAAAAAACAGAATATTATATACGAGACCTCAGATATATATTTTGAATATTTTTGATTGAATTTTAGGGATCCCCACGGGATACCAAACGATATTTTAAAACCACTATAGTATAATATAATACACGAAATGGATAGGTTGGGTATAAGGACTAATACCTATAATATTATTTACAGGGACGCCCGAAGAACGCCTAAAGGATTTTATTATTTTTATTATTATTTCAAACTGGGCAAATGTGTGAGTAATAATAAGTTTATATAATATAGTTTATTGTATACAGCAGCGATGGTGTGGATACGATTCGAATTGGATCTATTTGTCATTCACCGAATAATATTATATTGTGTTTGAAAAAATACAACAAAACGTACAATACTATATTATTATATGATATGATGTTTTGCAAAATATTTTCACATCGCCTTACCGACTATGATGTGATCTCTCACGATCTGCACGTGATTGTCACGATCCGGCCTGGTGTGTTCGTGCCAGAAGCCGACCACATGTCCAAGCTCGTGCACGACAATGCCAAACTTGTCGCAGTTTTTGCCTATGGATATCGCCTGCGGACCGTTGCCACGTTTGCCCACGAAAGAACAGCATCTGAAAGACGAGAGGGGAAAATGAATACGTACATAAATCATCGATCTATAATGCGAACCATACCGACAGGAATTATTTAAATACTTATAGTTATTTGGAATGTTCGTATACATATAAGACACCGGCGAAGCTTCGGTCGGGATTCCTACACGACATGATTATAATATATGTATGGTAATATATTGCTATGTTATAATGGCCATCCCCACACATATAATATTATATTCATCATTTCCATAGACAGTGTAAAATATCTAATCGTGACTGAATTTTATTCCCGCTTTAAATTATTAAATATTTATAACACTGTAATAAATTATACTACAAAAATAATGATTAGAAACATAATTTCTAAAATGCCCATCAGTTGGTATTAATTTACGATAATGTGACATACGAGTACCTATAATACCTACGTCATTGACGCATAATCGCATCGTCTTAATTATGTTTACTGTTCACTTTCTGCACAATGATGGGTCCAAACATAAAAACAGTTAGTGTATTGTTTAGTTTTAAATTTTAATTAATGTTTTAAAAAGCACTTTTTATAGAATTCATCATAATTGAGTAGGTAAGTTGAGTTTTTTAGTTACTTGTAAGGCAGTAAGTGAGACATTATTATATTCAAAATGCGAAATGTTTCCCAAAATTAAGACATTATTTAGACGGGTAAACATTTATTATTTGTATATGAAATTTTTTTAACATGAACATGAACAACTTAGATTTTATGAAATCAAATGTTGGCTGTATTGACGAGGGTAGTGTACCAAAAAACAGAAACCAAACAGAAGAGAAAGTACTCCCATCAAAACATCACAATCAAACGGTAATAGTGACTCGAATAAATGTCACCAGTTTAGTGAAAAACTACATACTTCTGATAAATCAAAATCAACATCTAATTACTTTAACGATTACTTTTGAAACGTAGAACTAATTAGTAAATACGTATATTGTATAACCGTATAACTATAAGCCATTAAAAACCAATGCTACATAATATAAACAGTATACTGATACTAAACAACCAAATTAAAATCCTGCAGACATGTTTTTTGATACATTTAGTTTAATTAGCAATGATCCATATAATTTGATTCTTATCCTGGATTGGATAAAATTATAGAAAATTGCTCAAATTAAATATATATATTATTTATTTACTAGGCCAATTTCACATATTCTTCATTTATCCACCAAAACATCTATATGTACGAAAAAACTTTAAAATGTCAGCAATATTGCAATAATATGCAATAATATCGGCAATAATGATTATTATATATATTATCAATACACAAAAAATGTGACAAGTCTAACATTAAGAATAACCACCCAATATCTCACATATACCGCGATATACTTGAAACGGTGAAAGGTTAACATAAATTCAAATATTTTGAAGATTTCATGGGTATTATATTATGGTGTATATCCGAATTGGTTTCGAAACGTCCTAATTAATTCCCGAGTTGTTACGAAGGGTATATCCGAATTGGTTCCAAATTATTTTAAAAGCATTTTCAATTCCCCTTCCCATTTTATACAGAATTAGGACTGCACATATTATTAGGCATGTATAATTTAAAATAGGTAGGTCATATTTTTTTTTAATTAAAAAATAAATTATAAAAATAAAAATAAAAATAAACATATCTAATGACTAATGTATGTACTTCTTTGTTTTTTTAATAGTTTATTTTATTGAGATAAAAATGTATAACAAATATTAGTCATAAATTTCAATCTATTCATTTCAGTTTTTCGAAATTTGTGTGTTTTCATGTAGCTATATTTTTTATTTTTAATCTTATGGTTCTGATGTTGTCCGTGCTTCGAAATTTATAATAAATGTTTCAATTTGAAAGACTTTATTAGGACCGGATTCGGATGTGTACCGCCTAGAACAAAGGTCCCCAAAGTGGTCTATATCGACCCCCTAGGATCGATTCTGACCTGTAAGGGGCCAATGTCAATGAAAATTAAAATAGGGGTCCACGAAAGTTATAAGTCAAAAATGAGAGTCACAATTTTTACGGAAAAATTAATATATATATTTAATAATATGTGTGTGACGACGCGAACGATACCGATTATTATAACGAACATTGTCGACAACGACTAACGGAGTCGAAGGTTACTTATCCTGCTTTATAGAGTATCGCAAGAAAGTTTTTGATAGCTTTTCCGTCATCATACTGCGTGCAAAGGGGTTTCAGCAAATCTTCTTACAAAAAAAAAGAAATAGATTGGAAATCACTGATAGAGGAGATTTAAGGTTAAACCTGACTAATTTGAAGCCAAATATTGAAAATTTACTATCAAAGCATCAGGCTCATCCTTCCCATTAATTAAATATATATTTCAAAACTAACTTTGATTTTTTTTCTATGTTATTAAATTTTTATTTGCATTTATTATCATTTTTATTACTAAACAAATTATTTGAATATTGTCATTATTAAAGAAATAAAGGTATTATTATTACTAAAAAGAACACGTTTTTGATTTTTAAAAAATGCACTAAATATTAAAGCCTATTCAGGTGAGCAGTTCCGTATAAGCACTGTAAGCTATGAAAAACAACTATATAAATTTGTAAAAATTTAATTTTAGGGGTCTACGCGCGAAAACGGAAAAAGTTGACAAGTGGTCTACGGGGAAAAAAGTTTGGGAACCTCTGGCCTAGAATATCGGGAACCAATTTGGATGTCAATTGTCAGGTATAGGAACCAAGGAACCAATTCGAATGCAACCTTGTGTTATATAGTAAATAAGAGAGTTATAAAATGTTAATAATAATACTTAGCTATACCTAAGTAATGGGGAATAGTTTCAATTTCCTATGAATAATATTTTAACTAGTACCTACCTTAAATGGAACGAAAGAATTCAGTCAACTCCAGACGATCGTGATGTGTGAAAAACATAATTTTGAGAGAAAAAAACCGAGGAAGTCTCTCAGTAGTCTGCTGTATAGTATAAAGTTATCGCGAGAGTATCTCGTTATAAAGTAGGTCACTGTAATGGATGTATTACATTTGAATCCATTGACAAATTATTTCATACGAAAACGATTCTGAGCGGACACCGTCTATCAGCCTATATTTCTAAGAATTTAAATTGCTTTATGAGTAATTTATTTTGCTATTAAAGTTATGCGGTAGGTTAAAATATTTTTTTTTCTAAATACAATAAATTAGTACATAATATTATTTAATTTATTATAATACTAAATAATAGCCGTTATAGTAAGTACTTATAGGTACTCCGTATAGGTATAGTATGTACGTCATATATGTTATTAACATATAAAACACAATAAAATAATTGAAATTGCTATTTTTGTTTAATTATCTAAGTCCGTACAAATTTGAACTTGAAATGTCTATAAAAAAAAAATTAATGGGTGTAGGTAATTATTATGATTGTATCAAAATTGAAATATACATTTTTCCAAACAAATTATTTTGTTATGGCAATTTTGTTATAGTTATTATGATTGTTATTTTGTGTGTGCTTATTGTGAAATTACATAGAAGGAAATAGGAAATCGAAATTAACATTAATATCACTCCGTTTGTTAAATTAATGTAATATCTATAATAATCCATACCTATTTGTAGATATTTATGGTTCCATCTATAAGCTTTAAAAAAGGCACTTTTGGAAGCAAATTATTACTTCAGACCTTTTCTGAACGTTATTTATTTGGACCTATATCGGTTATAATTTCGGACGGAAGTAGTATGCACCAAACAAAAATGTTCTAACTTTTAAAAGAACACGAATTATTTATTTAATATCATTGTACCAATAATATAGTTGTAATTCGTTGATTGTTGTATTAAGATAAAGGTTTTATTGTTTAATACTTTGCTTAATATGTATTGTTTGATCGATTAAAAAATAAACATAAATTATCGAAGCAATTTTGAAAATAAAGTTCGATTGTAGGTATACCTACTTTATTCAATTCATACTGATTATATTATACTTTAAATATTGTATTGCAAATCGGGAACTCATGAACCCGTTATCTTCTTAAAGATTAAATAAATATCTATATAATAAACTAACATCACAAGACACGTGTATTGTGCATATTGTTATTAATTATTATATAATACAGTAGTGTGTACGATAATTAATTTTACATTGTTGTATACTACAATATATTCAATAAAATTGTTAAATATTTGAATTATTAGTATATTCAGTATGAAGTATTCGTCATGCTAATGATTATAGAGGGCTCATGGGTGGAGACAGTTATGTATTTGGCCCATTTGGGTAGAGGTATAACTATATATTATCACAATTGCGCATGCCAAAAGTGATAAAATCCTTGATAAAATATTACACAGATATTTCTGGGGACTAAGCTCCCAACCCTATTTGCTTTCTATCTGTGAGGTTCTGAGACCATAAGATTTATATATATATATATTATATATACATAATATATAGTACAGAAATTTGGATATCTCGGGGACTGTAATAGTACGATAACGTTTATTTTCGACTTTGAAAGAGTAACCGCACTACTACCTACAATAATATTATTATACAAGACCGGGATATGCATTACACGGATTAGATATGGACCTATTTTACCGATGCGTACGAAACGTCTTACCCACAAGTCTTCTGTGAACACAATGTATTAGGATGCTCGTCTGGATTACGTTCGACGAATTTAATGCACGTGAAATTTTCCCAATGTCGCATGGCTTGTTTGAACAGCGCTTTGTGCGGACCACCGAAGCTGCTGTCGATCTCGTAAGGTATTACGCCAAAATCCCATACCCTTTCTTTTCTTGCAGGTGGCCGCTCTGGTCTCCTCGAATGGACAATGTTCCTGAACCCGAGCAATTATTTAGATGTTATATCGACATGAATTATTGAAACATTTGAAACAGTAGAGCAGTAGGAAATAATAAAGTTGGGTTTCAGATGCTAGCGTAATTCTATAATTTGTCCATTCCACGCTCGCATTCGAAGTAAAATTCGTAATTTATTAAGAGCCACGTGGTAGGTATATACTTGAGGTTTTAAAATTCAGAAACATTTCATTTCCAGAAAAAATTAAAATAAATGTTTATTATATCTAAAAATGTATAGTCGTCAAATTCCAAGTGAACATTTTTAAAAGTTGGTTTGTTGTATGAAACTATAGAAAATATGCAACATATTTACATATAATTTTTAAGTTGTTTAACAAATCTATAAATTATAATATAACAAATTTAAACATTTCCTTTTAACTCTTAAGTTACAAATTCATAAACCAACTGGATGACATCATAACATATTGTTGAGAGCCATGGCTCCATGGCCTAAAAATAAGATATTTTGCTACTGCACACCTATTTCCAAATATTTTAAAATTATGAACATAGACCTAGTAGTGCACATGCCACATATAACTTCATTGCATAATTGTTTTTGCTATTCATTAATAATTAGTTATAATAAATACAATCTTCTATATAACACCTTGATACCTATATGGCTATATGACTTAACATTTTAAAATTAAAAACGAAATAGCTTCAGTTAATATCAGGGTTGGCACGAAAAAGCCCAGCCCAAAAAAACTCGGGCTGCTTTTCTGGATAAAATAGAAATTCACTCTTATTTTTTTTTAATTTGTGTTCATTTTCAGAAAAAAATACACACCAACAGTCAATAGAAATGTTAACAATCTTTTTTAATAAGGTATTAAATACGTAACTTTCCTGTACATACTTAATGAATAATTTAAACAAAAATTAACAAGTAGGTACTTGGTAATAAAATAATAGATAGGGGAAAAATCAAAAAGAGTGCAACTAATTTTTTCGGATGTGTTTTTTGGGGATTTATTTGAAAAATTCCCGGGGTTAATATACTTATTTTATTATAAGCCACCCAGAATATCGTGTAGTACTGTAGTCGGTATTATTTTTAGTGTTTATATGCTAATTAGTAATTTTCAATAATCAATATTGAATATTAATCAAATAAAAATTTATAGAAGCCGAAAATAAGTACTGGCAGTGGCGTACATACATGGGGGGGGTTCGGGTTCAAACCCCCCAGGACCAAAAAAAAAAAAAATGTGATATTATTGATGAATTTCTTATTATTAATCAACCGTGTATACACAAATATACGTCATAATAATATGACTATTGAGTAAACAGTAAACAGTAAACACTATACTTAACCAACAACGAAAATAGATTTCATAACGAAATTATGGGTGCCGTATAATATGTATGGTATATCAATCAAAATAGACATTAATATGATCGTACACAGTCAGTTAGTTGCGTGCGGATATAAATACATATTAATATTGTCTTTATCTCGACCGACTCGATCAGACAACGGAGAAAAAACCGATTGCGTTATAATCGTTGAATTTCGCGTGAGTGACAATAATACGGTGAAATGGATTCTATTTTTATAGCACTATCATGATTATTGACCATGTTAAAATATTTAATTATGAAATGTTCGTTCATTCTGTCCTATTCTGCCGTCGGAGAAGTTTTTTTTTTGTTTTTTTTTAGATTTTAGTGTCGGCAAACTATATCAATAATATATGTCTATATTATTGAAATTTTGGACATGGCAACAATAGACTCAAATAATTAAATGTAAAAAATGAAAACAAAATAAATTAACTTACAAATAAAAAAATTAATTCGTTAATTTAACGTTGATTAAAAAATAAATTTAGTAAATTAGTAGTTAAGTTAAAATTATTATTATCACATAATAATCATTATCATTCGATTTCGATATATTTAGGTTTTAAGGTAAAATAATTTATAGTAAATCATGGCTGAAAAAAAACAATCGAAACTGCAATCTTTTTTTTCAAAACCACCCTCAATAATGAATTCATTGTCAAATTCATTGAATGCAACTCAAACAGTTATAAGTTCCTCTAGTTCCTCATTACCATCAACTGCATCTGCATCTGATACACCTATCACTCGTTTATAACACCTTCGACGACAGATATTAATCGTACATCTTCCAGTTATAATATTTTTGACATTGCACATTACACAAATAAATTGTTAACGGAAAGTGAAATAGAAGAAATTTTGAGCAAAATTTGGGTCCCTGATATTAATTAAAATTTTCCTATCAAAATATCAGTAGTCGGTAGACAACAAAAGTTTTTGAAATTGAAATTTCAATATAAATGGCTAATTAACTTTCCCTGGTTGGCCTATTCAGAAGTAAACAAAGGTGCGTATTGCAAATATTGTGTTGCTTTTACTAAAAATGAAGCCGGTGTTAAAATAAAATTGGGAGCATTTGTATTAAAAACAATTGATTGATTGGAAACATGCATTGGAAGACTTTAAAAATCATTCGAATTTAGAATATCACAATCAATAGAATTTTTATTATAAATAATTAATAATATAATATTATATCTTCTGTAGTGCATAAATAACTAGTGCATATTAAATAATATTTAACTGCCAGGAGTTACGTAAACCTTTGTATTTGTTTTGCTATTTTGCCTATTAATATTTATACGTATAATGTGTTTGATTGTTAGGAAAATGGGTAGTTGCAAAGAGAAGGTTTTAGTGCTGGTTATTTTGTTTTTAACCCCCCCCCCCCCCCCCCAGAGCAAATTTGAATGTACGCCACTGAGTACGGGACATTTTTAAATTTGCTACTGCACATTTAATATTAGCTACTGCCCATAGTGTGTGCTACTGCACACAATTTTAGGCCCTGCATGGCTCTGCGAATACATATAATATTATATTATATTCACAATGTTTAGACATAAACCACTCTTTTAAAAGTCGTAAATCGTGACATTTTACAATAAACAAAATATAATCTAAGTATTAAATAAAAGAGTCCAGTCAATAAAGATCACCATCACTCAGTAACATACACACATATACGAATTTTGTACTCTTAATAATTACTAAAAATAAACTATTATATCATTCACTGGTTGAAATATTGACTTCAACTTTATTTCAAACCATTATATTTTGGTCCACTGACGGTCCGCATACAACAATATGTCAATATCTTAAAACTCATATAAAAAATGTTTTTACTCTCAAAATAATGCTAGGAATATTTTTCAGCACTATACATATAAAATATACAAATATGAAATAATAAATCAACAAAACTAATATGTTTCTCTATATTTCTAAGTGTGTAATCAATATATTATTTCTAATCATCTACCTATAACCAAACACGTTAAAAAAAAAATATTTTTCATGATTTCATTGAAATATTTCAAATTCAGAACCCTATATATACTATATAGTATAATATAACATAATATATTATATTATGTACAATGTACATTAATATTAGTAGGTACACAAAACGCTTATGGATACCTGTGGATACCGGCACACCGCTGTAATAGGTACGAGTAGATAAATAAATCTCAGAAAGTTCGATAAATATCGTATATAAAATAACCGTTAGAGAAAAAGTCTCAAATGCTAAAAATTCGAAGTACATATAGTCCTCGTAAAAACAAAATATAACATAGTATAATATTTGTGTATAATACTATAATATAATTTTATAATATCCCTGCAGACTGCAAATAAATGAATAGCATATTATTAAGCTATTTGAGATGAACTTCTAAACTGTAAAACTTATAAACATAACTATAATATAAGTAGATAGATAATTATCTATAGATACTTATTTATGTTCACATAATATACAGCGAACACAGTGGTTTTCTTATTTAATTTCAGAGGGTTGGTTTGGATAAAATGTAAGTATAAAATAACATATAACACTTGTTCTGGGATAGAGTAAATCCGTTTTATATGCAAGAATAGGTACCTACTTACACTAAATATAGAGTAGGTAATCTTAAGTGCGATTAATATTCATATAGGTATATTATATTACTTTGTGTAGGTACAGAAATACAGAATAATATTATTCAGTCAATGTATTATCCACTAGCTAATATTTATAAAAATATGAAATACAGGGAGCATTTTTTTTTTATCCTAATATTTTCTTATATTTTCTTAGATTCACGAATATTATATGATTAAAAAATAACATTTTTTATATATTTGTTTTGTATTTGGTTATTATTGTTAAAGCATTTGATTTCTCAGTGTGTGGTGTTTGTTTAAAATCTTGGTTAAAGAACGACTTTGGTATGATAAGAAACAGCCATAATAATATTACAATACTCGAAATTATAGTATCCTTTATCCCTAATATGGGGTATAAAAATATTTTGTGAGCAATTCCTTCACACACACACATGGCGTCTTCAAACGTTCCTAGAGGTATATAATTAATCAAGTATCATTGGAACCTCGGGGGAACATAAATAACACGTCCAATTTTCACTAGCAAGTAAATCAGCTGTGTCGGGTGGGATGGAAACACTCAAATATTACTATCATTATTATTATTATTATTATTATTATATCAACGACACTAAATAGGATGCAGGCGGGTAGTTTTTCTTTGACTATCTTAAAATGTCACACTTTGACTTATTCAAGAAATCATAATCCTATAATAATCATAAAAGGTACTCGATTGATGTGGTTAATATAAAATCGTCTAAGAATGAGGTGGCTGATCTAGGTTTTATTTTTAATAAGAAATTGTGTTTCCGTTAACGCATTTAAAATACTATGTAATATAAATCTCTTGAATTGTTGAGTTATGCCAAGCGTGTATGTTCGTTGATTTTAAATTATCTTCCTCTAATCCCTATACTGTTCTATTGTTAGTTCTGTCTTGGAGTACGATACAATTTAATTTTCTGCGATCCTATTACTATTACTGATAAGTGTCAGCTAGAACTTGTCCAGCGGAAACTCTAAAATTTCTATGCATTTATTTTAAAAACGGAATGCCCCCATGTTTTTGTGCCATCGACTTAAAATGCTTAGCTGATAAAAGTTTTCACTGGTATTAATATTATAATATAATAAATTGTCAACAATTATTAATTCGCATATATCTCGCCAGAACTATTTACCGTTTCCAATCCTTTTTCGTTCCTATTTATCACACACGATATTTAAAAAATAATCATCTGTACCTACAGACTGATAAAGCTCGTCAATGAGGACCCCTTATTTGATTTACAATTTTTATCATTGTCATGTTTACCATTCTCATTGTAATTCACGTAAATTTTAGTTTTCCATAGTTAATTTTATCATATTTTTACTTGGGTTCAGCCTATTCATGTGTCAAAAAAAATATAATTTCCACAAACGGGTAAGGATGACTTTTTAGTTTTTAACCTCATTTTAAACCACTGCGACCGAATACACGACTTCATAATATATATAATAATATACTGTTTTATTCCTTATCGTCGTTATTACAGCAGCAAGCACATAATGTTATCACGTACGCAAAATAACCGATAACTTCTTATTTTCTGTTGTCCACTTATCCTGTAAAAACGAAAGAGATATTTTGATTTTTTTTTACAATGTTGATATGATTTATGAATTAATTCATATCATAATAATAATATATCATAATTATAGGACTTAAGCTATGATTTATTCATAGGTATTGCACATATAGTTAAACATCATAAGCAAAGTAATAAACGAATAATTTATATTATTAATAATTTATTTATTTTGCTTAATAATTTAAGTACTGCAATATTAAAATGTATAACAATAGTAAAATGATTACCTTGGTAAGGTTTATTTAAAGATTTTCAATTATTTTTTATAAATTGTTTTGTATTTTTTTTTTTTTTTAGAAAATTATGTGACAACTATTTTCTATAAGTAAAAGGAAATAATTTATTTTAATTCATATCCAAATATTAACAGGTTTTTTCACTTTAAGACTTAAGATAATCACAATAACTATATTATATGCAGCTCATGTGTTTTTTAAATTTTTGATTAAAGTTACTGTCGTAAAATGCTTAAAAAAATAAATTAAAATTCATTTGTTTTAAAAAATGGTTTTGCTCATTTCTACTTTTTTAGTGAAGATAATTTTCAAGGGCATGCACATAAGAGCATTTATTTTCAGTGCTACTTGTCCTAAACATTGGTTATTATATATTATATAGGTACCTAGATATAAATGATTATGCGCCAGTTTCTCCTGTAATCGAAAAAATACAATTATTAGTACTTATATGTGATAAAAATATATAGGGACCTACGCAATACGTAACGCGGTAACATTTAATTTAACTACCTATAACTTAATATAATAAAACATTTATACAGAAAAAAAACGTTATGAAATTGTGTCCCAAGTGACAACGATGGCGATATTTATGTAGACAAATATTATATGTATAATACGAGTATGTATAATGTATTCACAGGTACAGGTAGTATTATACAATGTATATAATATAGCGACTAACGTGAGGACCTGACAACCGAAAATCAAACTCTGCAATACGTACGTCTTGCAGTTTTTGCACGACTACAATGTGGCTCATAATATAATGTAATACCTTAACTATAATAGAGTTGTCCTATCAGCTATCATGTGCGTACCAAGGTTCCGACGGTTGGGTAACAATAATGATTTCGTTTTTCGAAACCAACCGCAAGGATTATTCACTCCGCGGCCGAGGAGAAATTTTTTTTTTTTCGTTGCCCTGATAAAAATATGCCGATGAAAATTTCTCACGTCTACTCCAGTTCAGAATGTTTTAAGTTGTTTATTCGAACCCGTCTAATATTGATTATATTTTATAATTCACGATGAAAATAGCTACGGAACGCGGTTAATGTGAGGTTTCAAAAATTATTTTTTATTTCATAAAATTTACGATGATAGAGGTAGAAACGACAAATTTCTTGGAAAACATGTGAAGATGTTAAATTTGTATTTATGAGAAGAAAATATAAATTTTGAAGTTTCAATTTTCCTTTAATATAAGGGATCGACTCGTAGTGTACAGGTCAGCAACGCGTGCGTATGTGGCGTGTCATATGTTTTGTGTTTTATGAGTAACCAATTATATTTATACTCAGTGTTTTTTATTTTTAGATTGGCTTATGATTATATTATAATCAATATTTTCGGAATTATTATAAACTAAATACAATTATCTCCTAACTTCATATAGTATAACCAGTATAATCATGCCGAACTAGAAATATTCTAAAAGAGCTAGTAAGCACTTAATAATCATCAAAATTTAACTCAATTCTTATTCTACGCTTCTAGATAGTTTAACACGATAAACGCATTCATTGTATTGATATAATAGAACGAGTTCATTATTTTTCACACTGCGTTACTTATTATATTATGTACTAATAAAAGTGAGAACAAATTATGAATAAAAAAAAATTCGTAATATTATATATTTATAACCAGAATTTTCGCACTTGTCAGTTATGAACACAACGTCTAAAATAAATACCTATATAATAATATATGGGAAAATAACTAAATAGGTACAGTTTTGCTGTTTCGATTAAATTATATAGGTAACTACATTTTGTAGGTAGGTATATCATAAATTCATTATAAATTAAAAACGTTGTAAGACATTGACAAATATTAATAATTATGCCTACATGGCTTTCATGGCCAATTATGGCTACATTTCAAACATCCGCACTTCAATATTTTTCAAACTAACTGCTTATTTACACTCAATTTGAGTGACTCAAACATTTAAAAACATTATAAAATGCTACTGCAATATAATATGATAATTTATTATAATTATTATTTGTTTAGGTTGATATAGCGTTCCGAAATGTTCATATGGCATCGATCTAGATTGTAAACTAAAGACAGATGGTAGGTATGCGCATATAATAAATGTAATTTTTCAGTAGTTTTCGTGAGAAGAAAACGACAGTAAAATATAAGCAGTGAGCACATTTCTTTTAATTATTTTAGCCAATATAGCTTGCATTCAATTTTTGTATTTCGGCAAATACAGATTTCAAATAGGCAAATGTGACAAATGTGTTGCTTATTATATTTTTTAATTTCGAAATTTTAATATAAAACTAGTTTGGCACCCATTGTCTGATATTCTTAAATTTTTTTTTATTATAAAATTATGATCCGTAATGTTTATATTATATACTATAGTATAAGCCCTTGAGATAGATACCTGGTTAGAGAATTATCAAGAACTGTAGTTTGCTCCCGATGATCATCGTTTTTTCTCTTGTTCAAGTGGTTTTTCCTTGTCCTGTTGTTGTGCCTGTGTCTTATCTTGATCTGTGCTACATCAGCTGACTTACTCGTTCCTGGTACGATACCCTCTTCTTCAATTTGCAACCCTTCGTTGATTTCTTTTTTGTATTTTTCAACTTTTTCTGCATATGCCTGTCTGTCCTTTTTTTTTTTGTTAGTGTACTCTACATCCGGCACGGCTATATCGCCCATAAAATTACCTGAACAAAATTGTTTTTATTAAATACATGATTATATTCAAAGTTATAGTTATAGTTTTAATATTTTATTTAATCTAGAATATCTATAAATTACAATTTGGATACTCAATACCTAATTATTCTATATATTAATTTGTATTTTCAATACTAAAATACCCATAGTTAATTAGAAATTAATTAGTGACTATATTGATAAAATAATGTAGTCTATACAAAATGTAGATACTAGTCTGATAAAAAAGAACAGTAGAAGGAGCACACTAAAATAAGAATACGAATTTTGTTATTCTACAGGGGTTATAAGTAATTGCCATTAAATTTAAAACGATTTAACAGGAGCTCATCAGATATTCACAATGTGTTACGCTAACTGTATATATAAATACATATATTGCACCATGCCTAAATACAATATTAGTTGTTTTAATTAAATAATTTTAATTTCGCAATAAAATAAACAATAACAATTCGTTGGAAAACAGGCCAAGTCACACAAATGAAAAATTGATAAAAAAATATATTATCCTGGTGATCTACACTATTATTACACCTATTTTATTTATTTATTTATAGTCTTAATATAAAATCCAATGGATTACATATCTGATTATAAAACCAATTATTTGTGATGGTGAATTTATATATTTTATTTATAATTATTTAAAACCCGATCATAATTTACTTTTTCTGAACATAATATAGTATTATTTAATTTATATTATTTTGAAATATAATAATATATAATGAGATTTTATAATAATAGCCACTTAAAAAATATTAATTTTAAGTCTTCATATTTTTAGCATAATTCAGTGTATACAAAGTGTTTAGTATTTCGATAATGCGGACTAGAAATTCCGGTAAAATATTTTTAACGTACACATAGACCCAACCCAATAAATATTAAATATATATATGTTAATAAAATAGTTTTTTAATCTAGTCTTAATAGTTTGATATGCGCTTATTTTAAATGCTATTAAAATTAATATAACGCCTCCAGGAACTTAATCGTTATGTCTCTATATAATACACAATTTCAGTTATATATTATATTATAATATATACTGCTAATGTATCCAATATAATACATAAGCGCACCGTTGTATTTTCTGTATGAAAATCACGTTACTACAGTTTTTATTTCACTGTCACTGCGGTACATATATTGCTTTTACACATTATAGCAATATACGTTTATACATATTACATAATATTACGATACCTTCAGCCAGTCGGAGTGATAATAGTATGTAACTTATTTAATATACTGAAGGTATACCGAGTAGGTATCTGAATGATGTATCTACTGCATACGTTATAGAGCAAGTGAAACCCTTTTACTGACTTTCGGTGGGTACCTCACAGGCGGGACGTGCCCTTTTTCCTAATGCCTGGATTAAGAATAGGTAATAATGTCATTAATTTACGTGATGAACGCGTCCCTTGACCGCTACACGAGTATTATAATATTATATAGTATTCTTGAATATAAATCGTTTGTATATTATTGAACTTACCCTAGTTGCATACCTTTAGGACATAGGTGGTAGGTAGGTACATCGGTCAATAACGAAATACGGATTTGCGTAACAATTACAAACAATGTTTCCAGTGTTGACTTGATTAACATTAACACATTATATATACTTTATAGTTTGTACATTACACAATATAGACGTACGGTGAGCGTTAAGTATAATACGGATTAGGCGTTTTTAGTATGCGCGTTTTAAACAAGTTTAGAAACACGTTTCAGCCTCCGTTATTTTATATATATTCTAAATTTCAAGAAAATAAAATCAACGAAAAATTAGTTCAGATGCTATTTTTTGGTAAAATTTTACTACTAATACTTAACGAGTTTCTAGTATTATATTATTGAATGTATAAAACTCGATTATTTTTGCCATCAAACTATATAGTATTAACTATAGTTTACTTATATAAGATGTAAAACATATCATTATTAATAATTCATTGTTTCGGGTGGAATATAATAATATGATGATTACGATTACTTTTTTCTTCTTAAAACCCGTTAAAGACAATATACATTACAGTCAAAAGCAATATCTATAATATTTCTCAATCCTCGAATACTTAAAAAAAAAAACGTTCGCGAGTCGCGACGACATCAAATCTGACAAACGATCTCCGTTTAAGAATATATAATATTATTATGAACGCCCGTTTTACGCACACCCAAATCTGAATAGCAGCATTATTATAATTTATAAGTATATATGTACAGCGATAAAAATAGGAAAATAGGACTTTCGCTTGTAAGACACTGGAATCCGTACTAGAAATGACGCGGTTTTTGATAATAATTTGTAGTGTTAACCAAAGTGTATATAAAAAAAAAAGAAATAATGTTAATGAGATATATTATCTTCAATACAGTGCGTACACCACGTAATTGCCTGCTAAAAGTACCTATATCGCTATATGTTATAGTGTTATACCCATGTAATATAATATAATAACCTCAATATAAACAATACGTATAAATTATGTATACACATTATTACGGTTGCACTACGCGTAGTACAACTCTTTTAAAAACGCGTATGGTCAAAAAAAAATTCGAAAATGCGTGCGGTTATAGTGTGTTATAATTATACGGTACAGCGATTCTCCAGTATAGCGTACGTGTGCATCGTATAAACGAATAGGTAGGTAGTTGCTAGTTAGGTAGCTGGTAAAATATACACGTATGAAGTATAAGTGGCTATTCGGAAGCGAAGGAAATAAAAACGAAATTAATAACGCGCTGTGATATTTGGGTCGAGAAAATAGTATAATAACTTATCGTTGATTCGAGAAAATTTGCACGAGACAATCCTAATTTTCTCGCTCATCCGCGGTCATCGGTGTACTCGGTATATCGATTGAAATATCTTAACTTTCGACAACAGTTTAACGAAACCTATTAATATGACCGAAATCATATTATATGTATATACTCGCGCTGTATATTATATTATGTTCATTCACCGAGTTACACGTTAACAGTGATTAGCAGCAGCGAGATGCCTCGGGGCGGTGGGCGGAATTATAATAAGTTCGTTTCATTTGCATTAAATTCGAGGAAGTTCAACCCCCGAAAGAATTAAGCCTACGGCCGTGGGCTTTGACGGAATGGGGTACGCGTGAAACTCCATGTATACACTATAAACTGGTAGATTTAATTACTGACTCATGACGATGTTCGAATTATTTATTTATTGCAATAATAGTAATACTCATAAGTATTAACTGTAATCGTGTCATGGTATTGGTATGGTATAATATTATAGGTATACATCTATAGTTGCATCATGGTTGTAAACGGCGAGTAAAAATGTCAGAATCGTGTAGGTACATTACAACGTGTATACGAATTTAAATCCAAGTCGATTTCCCTGTGAGCTATACTTCGACGTTAGTCTGCGCTAAGGGTATAGAATACCGGAGTGCACGAGTCGAAAATATAATTATAGATTGTAGTACGTGTATATGATAATGAGCAATAACTAATAAGTAATACCGTGCATGTTTACTGCAGGCACCTATGTGAATTTAATCACCAAAGAATGTTTATTGATTATTAAAATTTTGCCGATATTACCAAAATGATATGTAGCTGAACCCAAGTACCACACAATATTACACTAAGTGTTTTATTTATATGCATATCTAAGTATAACGCAGTAAGTATGCTTGCTATGACTTATGAGTTCTTTATGCAAAATATACTTTGCGCCACAACAACCGGTTCTCAAGTGCGTATTCGAATTATTTGGTACATTTTGAACTTAAAGTGGAAATAAAATAAAATCAATTGCTTATTGCTGGTAAAATTCGTTACTGTCTCAAAATATATGTTTAAAACAAAATCTGATTAATTTAATATTTATGTACCTATATTAAAAAATGGATGTGTAAAAATATTATTATTTGTGTACCTATTGGATTTAAAAATATTGTTGAATATTTATATTTTTACTGTAATAATCATTTTATCTTAACAATAATGCAATATGTACATTTTATAATGTAAACGGATATTAACTATGATGTATAATATTTATATAGTATTTTAATTTATAGTGCATATTATAATATTCGAAATTAGCTAAAACGTTTCAATACGTAGTTACACGTGTTGTAATTATTAAATATTAAGAGGATGTCACACCCGGATATGTTGTCTCCGTGTCTTACAAACGTACTTTATCTAACTTAAAGGTAAGAACATCATTATATGTATGTTTTTTGTGAGGTTTTTGCTATATTTTAATTTTTAAATTAGTTATCAGTACCTATGTAAAATATTACAATTTAAAATATCTAAATATGGCGTGCCATATTAAGTTACCTATAGAATATAGATCAATACAATATTCAGCAGTTCAATATAATAAACATTATAAACTAGGTGACTAGGTACTTATTTAAATGTTTTATTGCAGTATAAAGAATATTCATATGAACTTATACAAACTACAGTTGAAACTGCTAGCAGAAAGACAAATTCGGAGACATATTTCATAACTATCACTTATCTAATGATAAATATTAAACAGAATTAGGTACAATATTGTACCAATAAAATGTTTCTATTGCAAGTCTAAAGCAAAGGTCAGACTAAAAACAATCTTCACTGCATTTTGCGAAGAAGAGATCATGACTTCATAATATAGTAATTAATACTACATATTTACTATAAATATATAAACTGACCTCGATATTGTATTGGTACACGCGTAAACCTTTTTTTAATTACTGTTTATTCTGCTAAATGCTAATTATATACTATACAGAATAATATATAGCATAAGAATTAATATAATATTATGCCTATTTTTTTTTTTTTTAATTTAGCTAATTTTTTTCATACATTTTATAATATATATGATTTATAATGTTATGTTATATTTCTAGAGTGTATCATGACTATTTGTCACTTGAGAATAAAAAAAAATAACCAGTTATTTCTTAGTTCATATAGGGTATAAACAAACTAAGTAAGTCGAACTATAATCATTAAATTTTTTAGGCACATAAAAAATTGGTAAGGTTATTCATTTTTTTTAGTAGTGAATATCATATTATTCTTAAGTGATAGTTTAATATTTTTATAAATTAATGTAGGTACTGAATGTGTAGACAGTTTTTAATACTTTAATATAATAAAGTAAATACATATACCTATTAACTTATTAACTTTAATTTAGGATTTCGTATGATAATATCTTTGAATAAGACTATTTTTAGTATAGGGATGTTCACCAACTGTTAACAAAATTTGCTAAATCGCAGAATAAATATTAATAATAATTATGTACATCTTTAATTCGAGCATATTATATTTTTGCAATAAATTAGTAGGTATTATTTTAAACGTACAAATTACATATACACATTACAAGGTTTAAGTTGGATATGTTTAGGATTAAAACAATTTAAGCTAATCTCTATTTTAAGTGAATGTCATGCAATCTTAATTAAGAACCAAATTTAAAAATATATATTTTCTATTCATACATATTATATGACTTTTCATAAAGTTTAAATTTATGTTTATTCAATGTACCGCGATATCAACCGAATAGAAAATGTAATTCATCAATGATAATAAGTGACAAAGAAAAATGTAATATAATATCGAAGGATTTTACGTCAACGAAGGTCGTCTTGCCAAAATTATTATTATTATTATTATTATTGCATGTATTAAGACCAAATAATAGGTACGGCTATATTATAAGCCTGCACGTGTTAATGTCAAAGCATTAGAATAGAATTTAGAGTATAGATAAATACACTTCGAACAAATTATTTTTTATGGAAGTTCAATTTAAATAATGTAAACTAAATAATACAAACTGAAAAGTATCTGTGTATAAGATAAATTGGCTTCTCGCTTTTAACATACATAGCAATGTATGCAGAGCTATTGGATCTTACCTTATAATGAACATTATTCTAATGAATACTATATTATATTGCTATGTAACTATGTAAGTGTCACATGTAGTGTTCAGCAATATGAATATTATAATTTAAATGGAAGTAGGTACCTGTAAATGTCTAAAGACTTAATAAAAAAAAAAATTTTTATTTAAAATATGTGAGAAATAAGTGTTAGGTATATACCTACATTGAAGAGTTTTTGATTACTGTTAGATTCTTTTTGAAACTATTAATAATCATTACTTGAAAATCGGTATTTGACGTTTGAAAGAAATACGAATCCCAAAGATTTATTTTATTAGTTGTGATAAAAAATGTGAGTTGTTTATATTTTATATATTTTAGAAACAAAAGGTGACCATAATTAAATGGATTTACATATATAACAATAATGACATATGTATAAGAAAAGCAGGTATGATATTATGATAATGACATAAAAAACATTATGATTTATGAGTTATGCGGTTCATAAACATGATCAAACATATAATATATTAATTTTTTGATTAGGTATTTTTTATTTTATTGAAATTATTGAATAGTTATTGATATAACTCTTTGAATATTCGTATCTGAAATTTTTATTTATAAACTATTATTGTATCATATGACATTGTTGTACACTAAGTATTTGTCTACTCAAAAATAAAATTAATAATAATAATATCACTATAACAATCGAAATATTATTGAATGCAATAGGTATCTCAGATACACTACTATTATATAATATAGAGTTCATCGACATTGCGTATTTTAACGACCCAAAGTCCAGCGGCAATTACGAGTTCTATACCAATTATCCAGATGAAAGAAGAATGTCATTCACCAAATTGTCTTTTTACTTTATCCTAAAGTTCACCTTAACGGAGTTATTCCGACCTTTTTTTAGGGCACCGTGAAAAACTCTCCCTATATATAGAATATAGCTACTATAAAACTGCAAACGACTAAGAAATATCCCGCGGGCGCGTTTATAAGAAAAGAGTGTCAAACGGCACCCCAAACAGTGTACACCAAACTTACACGGACCCCTCCGGACGAGTATATAAATATATATACACAAGCTAATATAAGTTATATCTTTTCTCTTATTCTTTTTTTTTTAACATCATTACTTAGTACTTACCGGCTTTGCAGGGGTCTAAATCGACATCATTAGACATTTTTTTCGGGTAAATCGAGCAAAGCAGTTCATCGGCGGTGAACTTGGAACAATCGGCTGTAAGCCATAATCCCGCCAAGACGCGGATCAACAAGACGAACCCTCCGGCCACCTTCATAGCGACTCTCGAGTGTCGTCCCTACTGGCTAGTGCCTCAACACCGTTTGTGGACGATCGTTATCTGCATGTTATCCTGTAGGAGGAAATATTATAATGTTAAAATTTCGCCGTCTATAATAATATTTATACTTTTTAGTATGAGTTTATTTTAACAAGTAAATATTTTATTGAAATAATATCAATAACGAACTATTTTCTACATGCGTGAGTTAAACGTACAATCATCGTAATATTAATATATTGGCTCTTATCACGAGTGTGATGTGTTACATATTTTATTTTATGATTCAGAAAATATTGCGTGGCCTCGTTTCTCTTCCTCGTGGACCTATATCACAAAGTCCACGGACGTTTTGGACACTAGAAAAACGGCGTTTAGAGTTGATTAACAGCAATAATACCGGTGTGATTCTTATTCAACAATGTCCGTCAACGGAACTTTATAGATAATATATTTTTAATATGTAAAACCGATTACGGTTACGATAACAATAACAACACATTGTTAATTTTTCATTATTTTTTAGTCGTCCGTTTAATTTTTCGAAATAAAAATGCGCTTTATCTATAATATAATATGGGAAATAAAAAATAGGTATGACTGCTGATTAAAGAAAAAATTGAAACGTAAATAATTTTGAAAGGTTGCATTACTGATTTGATCCGATATACCTACAATATAACAGTGATAATTTATATTATAAGCTATCTTTTTTTTTATTATTAATTTCTTTACTTCGAGTTAGTAAAATCGGTTAATTTAAAAACAAAAATATGTTTTTATCTCGTTTGTCTATAGGTAATAGCCGGTGCTAAGCTGTACATTACTCGGGTTTGAAATCGAAAAACGACTGACGACGTTGAAATAAATACATGCGAATATTACGATATCACTATAATATTAGTATAGTAGTCGTATGATACTTACTGCTGTTTCGGCTGACTACGGTACTTGTTGGCGGTTTTCAGACGAATAAAAAAATAATTCGATCGAATATTCGAGGTAAACGTAGCACACTGCGATGATTATTGCGACGGCGAAAAAATGCTTCTAGACAATACGAGACTTTTTCATTAATATTTTAAGCAACACACGAGACGACGATTATTATTAATAATATTATGTCGTTGGTAAACTAAATTGTACGAACGCGAACACGAAACGACCGGCTCGCGCGCCTATACGGAACGACGCAGAACGTACTACGCCCGGCACGAGTACTTCTACGGTTACTACTAAAGAGCTCCCGCGAGACGCGATGCGCCCGTACCTATATGACCAATTTTTATCCACCCTCTTTCGCCGTATCAATCTCCCGCGTTAGCCGCCGCCGACGACGTGTACCATAAATATCGCCATGCCTATCACACACGACGACGTCCTGTCGAACCTATATCGCCGCCGCCGCCGAACTATTATCTCGCCTTTTCTACAATAATTATATGCTATAACATCGTTATTATCGAATGCGCTGTATTATAGCTCATTAATATAATAATAATTTACCCGAACAGTACGATAATAAAATAATATAAAATTATTCACCGATTTAAAAGGCAACAAAATATTGTTATTATTATTATACTGCTGACATAATAATATTATTATGCCTGTTTAACTCTGATTAATCCTAAAATAAATAATAATAACAACAATGACATAGTGTCTATAAAATCAGTCGTCGACGCATAATATTATTATTATGTTTTCGTTTACGCCGAATTTCATCGGTGAAAACAACATGTGCGAAAACAAAAAATAATAATTCCTATTTCGAATCGAAATGTTGTTGTCTACTACACTCCAAGCAGTATATTAAGTAGATTGGTACTCGATTATGTAAAAAAAAAATAAAAACTTGTTTATCAAAAAAAGTACAATAATATTATTTGAGTTGTAATAAGAATACAATTAAAACACAAAAAAGGTCACAACTCATAATAACTGAATTTTTTAAAATACGTGTAAGTACTATATAGGTTAGAAACATATTAAAATATTCGAAGCGTGGCACACACTACAGGAAACGTCACATTAAATGATAATTCGAATTACCGTAATAGGTTCGAATATAAAACATCGTGTACCCATCGTGAGCGTTTGAAAAACAATCTCATAGGTATTCGATGCAACCCACCTGCACGCTGCAGATTTAATGGTTCTGTTTTGATGTATAATATATTTTTCGCACATATTATTAAGCAACCAACTACTATGACGTCATTTAAAACATATAATAGCGTTTTTGGTATACAGCGATTTTCAATGCACCCTTTCGCACTTAGTCATCGCACTTCCCTCGCCGCGATTTCCAACACCACGGCGGCGCGTGTCGTCGGACACCCCCGCGGCAGAGGATATAACTCCAAATCGTATTTTTCACGTCACGTTTTTCAATCTCGCTCGCTCGTCGTAACAACAATAATAATGATATTACTATCGTCTGTCTGCCTCTCGGGGGGAGGGACTCCTTAGTTTCTGTTTTATTTTTTGCACAAAAACCAATGATTTCGGTCATCGGATAGGCGTATAGTCGTACCGGATCGTATGATGTATATAAGCAAAGGCAATATCGCGTACGTATAGGTACTGCATCAACATCCCACGAACAAGCGGTGATAAATCGTTTTTCGAATGCGTCCACCTTGGGATAAGGCATTAGGAAAAAAAATGAAATGAAATAGATTATTTATCGCAGCGGCGGAGGTGGCGGTGGGGTAGTATTGTTCGTCGTCGTAATTATTATCCCGATCGGTGTTAAGGCGTGTGCGCGGGGGTGGTGCGAGAACAAAAAGGAAAGAAGTGTGTCCTGCACGCACGATACCACGGTTGCAGAACACCGCGTCCTTGGCCTTTCGCCATTGCAGAAACCTGACTAGCACAGTCGAATAGTTCTTAGGACATATGGTACTTCACTGGCACGGGCGGTGGTGATTTGGCACACCGGTGGTCGTGTGGGGTCGGTCCGACTGACGGTAGTGTGGGTTAAATATTTTTATTATTATTACACACACACGGCCATCAACACTCAGCAGTCGCGCAGGTACTCGCCTACCACGTACCGGGTATCCGAGTAGACCGGTTTCCGGTATACACTTGTTGAAGACGGCCGAGTGAGAGAGAGAGCAAATTATGCGTATGAGAGAGAGAAGAGCGCCGCGCGCGCGATCTATACGCATAAGACGTCAGCGACAGAGTCGACGTAATGTTCCTCTTAAGGCGGCTTTCCACAATATACACGTCGTGTTTCATGAACACGTGAAATGTTTAGCCATGCCCGAAAACACGGTAACGTGGTGAATTGTGTGCCTAACCATCCAATCGCAGCAAAGGATTATTGCGAACTTGTGTATAGTGCGGAAACCAGCCTTTGGAACCTCAGTTCATATTAGTCAAATAGACAATACTGAATATATTATATTGCATACAAAAGTGACACTCTCGATCGCCGTGATTTTGTCCGCTATTCAGAGGGTTCGGTTTGTAGAAAGTTTTTAGTTGGTGCCTAAGAAAACGTCCGCTTATCTGGAGCTGTAACCGTTAGGAGACGTACCTAAGTACCTAACCTATGGCTATAATATGATCTAAGATATCGTTAATATAGTTTTCTCGAGGACGCAAGAGGGGAGTGAGAAACATGGGGAATAAAATCGCGGTATTATCATTATCAGCTATCGTTTTTGTTATTTTGAATCGTCATAAGAAGGGCGGCGGCGACCGGGCGCCGACGGCGATGCGCGAAGTCAAACAGTACGACAACACACGTGGGTACGGCGAGTAACGCGCGCCTAGCTCGCGCCCGATAACTCAAAAACACTTCGCACGACACACGCACACACACATGAGTGCGTGCGCACACACGGAAAATACTGGGAACGCTGGTCGCAGTGGTGGGGACTCGGCGGCGGCGATGGTAACTGCGGTTACGGCCAAGGTGAATACCGAGTTGTAGAAGGTGGGGGGTAGTGGCAGCGACTGGTGGTGGTGGTTGTCGGGCCGGTCAGTTGCGGTTCCCGTGGCGGACAGGTGGAGACTGGAGGTAAACGTGCGGCGACGGCGGCAGCAGGTTGACGAACGTTTTACAATCGGTTCGTCGGTCTGGTTTTTGTAGTTTTCGTTGTTCGGTTTGACGTACCTTTAAAACGCGAGCAGTCGGTGCGGAAATGCGCGGCCATCGCTGAATCCGTTCATTCCTCACCGTTTTCCGATTTCGGTGATCGTCCGTCGAAAAAAGGTTCTCCGTGACACACCGGGCCCCTTTGACGGCGTCGTACTCAGGCCTCTGAGAATTCTTCTTATCCTCCTCCATGGGAGCGGTCGGCCTACGACTGCATTTGAATCACGGAACACAGATTCGAGTGAGACCGGAGAAATCCGCACGGTAAAGGTAAGAAGAACACGACGAGCTTATAAATATGACGAGTGACTGCGCGACGACTCGAGCAAAATAAATATTGTTGACAAAATATTGTCTTCTAGTCGAGACGTTTCCTCCGGCACGCAAAAGCTCCAAAGACCCCGTCTCTCGCGTTTATACCTTGGTACTAAAGCATGTGTTTAGGTTACATTTCGGTACTTACCGACGCGTAGCAGGACGTATGATAGGTATTTATTATTGTTTGTTTACCACCGATGGCTTGACGTTTCCCACGATTTGTGTCGCACCCGACGAATTTACCAAAGATATTTATGACGAGAATCTAAAAACGAGCGACCGTGTGACGAGTACGGAGTGAAATAATAAATTGTTGACATAATTGTCAGCAACGCGGCGTCGAAACCTCTTCTGGTCGAAACCACTTCTAGTCAAAACCTCTACTGGTCCAGACGTTTTGTCCGGCACTAAAAACTCCAAAGATCCCACATCGTGCGCGTATCTTATAGGGTAAAACGCCTGTTTAGGGTTACATTTCGGTACTTACCGACGCCGGACACGTATAGGTATCAGGTATAATATTTATTATTATTTATTTACCGTCAAGTGCAGTCGATGTCAACGTCCCCGTCATCGCGTTGTCCTCCGCTGTCATTTTTCCCACCGGAATGAATATGTAGTGACGAATAATTTATTATTTAATAACGATCGGAAACGGCAAAAATTTCACCCCCCCCCCCCAACGGGTACGGATGACTGCAAAATCCGTCAGCGGCGGGTCGATGGTTTGGTTTTCCCCGAAAACGATTGAGTTCCAAGTCGATTCTTGATGACACTTGAAATACGTGGTGTTTGTATAGTAAATAACAATATTATATTATACATATTATACACTTCCTATCTATACGTGTATATTATAATACTATGATATTTTATTACCTTGAAATATTGTAATTGAAAACCAGGCGACGTACATATTATTTTAATTAATATAATTATAAATTATAATATGTATTATGTATAAAAGTTAAATCGCTACGATTTCGAATTTATTTCCTGTGTCAAACGAATACTTACCTACTATAAATGCTACTTATGCCCAGAAAAGCAACTCATGGTAGGTAGTAGGTATATAACAGATATTATAACAATTTAAATCAAATACTGTCCGTTAAAATTTAAAATTATAGTATCAACTATCACAAATATTGAAATATCTAAACGCATAGGTAGCTTATTGGTACCAAGTTTTTTTTTTTTTTGAAAAACCACCTGTGACCAAAATACCTCATAGTGGAAAGTGTTAGCGGTTACGTGATAACGAACTTTGAAAAACGATTAAAAATGTAATTTAACGATTGATTACATTACGAACTTTGAACCATGGATGATCATCACGCTGGGGTCTTTGACGAGAAATATCGCATGTATTTTAAGTATTAACGAATTACCGAGCGAATTACTTACATGTTTGAAATTTCGAAAACAAAGATCATATTATTTAATTTACTACGTAAAATGCGACAAAAGTTACACAATATATTAACATGTTCGTTAATATGTATATGGACGTAGGTACTGTGTTAATCTACACTTAATACTTAATGCCTTTGTACATTAGGTAGGTACCTACCTACCTATATTACCTATGTATTTTGTAACACACGAGTATGATAAAACGCGTATAGGTATATCGAACCTGGGACGGGGAATATGTCCATTTCGGAAACTAGCTAAATATGTCCTGTATTATTATACAATTAATCACATTAAGCATTATATTATAATTTACACATATATGGTATTAAAAATAAACGAAATAAATATTAGACTACAATCCGTGTAAATTTAAAAAACAACATTTACCATTGCGCAATGTTTTAACGTTTAACATAATATATCTACTGACTGTATGCGCGAACCACTCATGAAAACATTTATAACAGTACCTATCTGTTAATATAATGTTTTATATTTGAAGTTTTGTAATACCTACAATAAAAATTCGTATATTACCGTTTCTCCGTAGCAAACGTACCGTCGGACGGACAAGCAGAGTAGCGTATTTATCCAATTCGCGTGACCACTGGACCAGACGAATCCTGTACATTAACAGAAAATGTAAGTATAAAAGTATAAACGTTTTCTCAGAATGATAAAATTTCACTTTTTCGACGGAAACCACAATTTTCTTAAGATCTTAACCTACCCGGGTTACTGCAATTATGTTCCTGTAAAAACGAGAAATATAGTTATTCGCGAGTAATCAGTTATAAGAAAATAATATTATATTATGCTACTTATATAAGTAGCTTGCCTATATATTATTATTATGTGAATTATAACAGTAGATTTATTTAAAACGTTTTCATTCAATGTCATATTGAAGTATTTAACGATACTATACGATATATTCACGAGTTATCGATGGTTGTTGATAGTAGAATTTATTTATTTTAAAAAGTTTTGCGGTGGCGTGTTGATACATAGCGAATGACCTTACGCAATATGGCTTACGATAAAAAGTAGTTAGGTATACCCTTAATATCATTGTGTACTGTGTATACATTGTACACATTGCACTCTCGGTGTATACTTACTACTTAGCTTACCTATTTAAATTTTGATGTAGCTAGTAGCTACACAAAGACGAATTTCGCCCAATAGGTTATCTCGACTCGTGTAAAGCGCAGTTTCGGTGGGTGGATGATGTTTTTGTGACGTGTGCAAACGGGAAGGGTGGAGACGTGGAGTTCAATAGTAAGAAACAAAGGTCGCAAGAAAAATATACTAAATAAGTTCTCAAACACGTTGGTTTAATAATAAATGTTCATAATAATGCATTCTGTGTATTTTCTACTTCGATTTCGACTGTATTGGTTATAGACTTCTGGTGGATTTAGTATTTTTCATTCCTTTTATAATTTCGTTTTCATCCGGATTCCGGAATGATGATGGTTATATATATCGTTATGTGTGTAATTGTTCTACGTGTTCTATAGACATTTTAAATATGCAATCAAAAGTATGAGAAAAACTTAAAATAAATATAAGTAAGTGATGCTAAACACAATATAGCTCGGAATATAGATAAATTTATAAAAAATAAAAACCATAAGTCTTTTTTGTGTGTGGTTTTTTTCAGTATTTTTTTGGTGTGATCTATAATATAATATAGATATAACTATATAAGTATATAACTATTTATGAATCATATAAATTTAGTATTAAATATAATATAACGTACACAAATATCCAATGAATCAAATTATTTGATATATTTCTTCAATTTAAAGGCAGGGGTGCAAGTTTAAGTTAACTACTTAATTTCGAAATCGTTACTTAGACGATACTGGATGCGCCTTTGTATAGTTTCCCGTTGTCAATGATCGATTCCCAAGTGCATCACAATGACCGTGGATAATAGTCCGTCGACCCGAACGCTTTAGCCCCTGGAGACCACAACCCGTGGGTGTTGTGTGCGAGTATCAATCTATACTTTATCGTTTCTTTTTTGCGGTGAGTCGAGTGAAATTTAAAATTAAGTGGCTTGGCAAACACAAATATTGAAACCAAACAATCAACCGCCAAATCCAATCAATCTGCAGGGTTCAGGGACCATGCACGCGGGTTAATGTACACACGTGCAGTAGGTTGTAGGTACATTACCTATATATTTATGCAGCGATAATTTGATGAAAAACGTACTTCTTGGTTATAAGATAGTATGAAAACTGATAAATTCGCCGTGCATTACTATATAGATTTAGTTGTGTAGATCGTAAATACCATCCGGTTCTTAACACATCTATCACATATCTTCACATCATGTTCGAAATGTAGAGTGGACAAAAACCCATATCCTAAAATCAATCAAACACTGATTTCATTCGTGATATGTCATTACTCATTATAGACAGGTTTATTTTATTTTAAATCACTTATGCATTGACTATTGATATTTGATCTCGAGTAGTGTCCCGTAGGGCATTCGTGCCACCGTCTGCAATGATTAATCTATGCATTTTTGTATGACATTGAATTGATTTATTAATACATTTTACTTTTGAAGCTTTTAACATTAAAAACAATTAATTAATTGCATAAATGGTTCAAACATTGTTTATTATTTTATTTTATGTGGTACCTATTGCTTTATGCCAAGAGAACCACTGTAAACAGTATTCTTCATTAAGGTTTAATACTAATTACTATTTTCTATTGTATTCTAAATTATTAACTAATGTTACGAAAAACATCCAGTAAACTCAGTGGGTATTGTTTAATAACTGCTGTTTTGAAATTGTTTTCTCCACGTTTTTTTCTAAAATATCTAATTCAAAATGCTTTATTAGCTTATGGGTGGTTTTTTTTCATTCGGGTAATTGAGTCACGTGAAAGTAGTGTTCGTATCCGTTTTCGAGTAACACAAATCGAATATGAAATCATTCAAACTATATTCGGGTTATTGTAGACATTAAAAAGCAATTTGAGAATATAATTTCGGCCATGTCATAAGATTCATATTATGCTTGAATGAATATTAACTATTTAGTTCTTGAATAATTATGCAGTGTCTATGTCAGTTTTCGGGTAATACAAATCAAATATGAAGTCATAAAATCTATAATTGGGGTTTAATAGACGTTAAAAAAATTATTTGAGAATATAATTTCGGCTAAGTTTATAAGATTTTAATGACTGAATAAATAATAATGAGTTAGATAGTTGGGTTACTTTATAGGAATAATATTATTTGTGAAAATACTTTTGTATCATCAATCTATGGTTCAAGAATTAGGGTGGTTCTTGGTATTTTATTTACTTATAAGTTATATTAATGTTTTTATATAGGTACTTAATTATATTATATAATATAGTTTTAAACATAATATACTGCGATCGGGGAAGATGAAGAGAGGAATTTTGCCCCT